TGGATCCTGCCAAGGTGCCGTAAAAATGAAACAGCACAAAAGAGAAGACTTCATCCCACCTTGTCCTCCAGTTCTTGGGTCCCCCCCCCCCAGAAACAACCAGTGTTCCCAGGCTCCTTTGTCTCCATCCACTCAGAAACAGAATCACAGGCTTTTGGTTTATTTGTCCTGGATCATCAATGACTCGCGAAGCGTGAGGCCCACTGAGGCATGTGAATGGATGTGACTCCAATGCCAGACCCCGGGGACAACTGCTTGAGTTTGATGGAGCAGTTCCTTCATGTCCCTTCTCCTCACAGGGGCTCCGTTTTCAGTGGGTGGAGTCCAGAAGCTACGGCTTTCTGGAATTGCCCATGTCCTGTATTGAGGCTGTGACTAATTGACATTTGTCCATCAGCGATGCCAGGGCATCGGCACTTCCTGGTCCCCCGAATTCAGGTGCATGGGGGCCAATCTGGGAAGACTTGTAGGGCGAGGACTCTGCACCTGCTTTCCACCCCTCAGCTGCTTTTTGGACTTGCTCAGCTGATTGGTCGACTTTTCTCCAAAGCAGCCAAGGGCCAATGTTCGAAGGACACGGTAGTTTGGTCACCCTGAGGCCATTTCATCCTGGGGCTCGGAGCCAGGCTTCCTGGGCTCCAATTTCAGCTGTCACTTCTAGCTGGGAGACCTTGGGCAAGTTGCTTAACCTCTCTGGGCCTGTCTCATCTGTGAAAGGGGGAGAATAATACAACCTATTTCACAGGGTTATTGTGAGGGTTGAAGGAGCCGATAAAGTAAAGCACTAAACGTGAGGCTTGGCACATGGTACATATTAGCTATTTTTGCTGGGATGAAAACCAACATGTCATCAACGCCTGCTTGTCGTATAGATTAGTTCACTGAATTTATCTTATTGAATTATCCCACCCACCCTGGGAGGCCCACCTCATGCCTACTTTGCAGGTAAGGAAACTGAGGCTGGACCTGCTTCTGGGACTTGTTCAGCCACGCAGCTGGTACATAGAAGAGCTTTGCAACAGTTTACTCTGCGGCCAGCACCGTTGCCTCGCCCTGGGGCGGCCGAGCGAAGTCCTGGCTAATGTATTCATTTGCTTACTCTGATTCCTGTCTTTGTATTCTAGTAAGTGTCCCTGGGCTTCGGCTTTGCTCCTAAGGAGGGCAGAAGCCACATCTGAGACAC